CAACAACATCTACAGATTTCGTAACAATATTCAGAAACACTTCGCCTCGTCTTCACATTAGACATCATTGGTATTTATATTTCCACTAGTTTTAAGCTTTTATATATTATTTCATTTTTATCCATATTCACATGCTTAAGACACTGTTTGCTTACTTTTTAATAGTAATGTTTACGAGTTGAATGATCATGCTGTATGTACATATGTTAGGTTTACATCCTAGATTAAAACCATAAATTGTAACATTTATTGGAGTACCATTGAATGTAACCTGTTTTGTGCATCAAATAAATAAATAAATAAATAAAAGTAAGTTCCCTAAAAAGCTTTTTAAAAGGAAACTTAAATTTAAGGTGTTTATGAGGAGGTGAAACATTATTATACCAATATCTTAGAGCTTGAAAGCGGAAACTATTATATAATAGGAATATATTATATAATATTGGCCAATGCGTTAAAAATGACCTGCTAACAGAGAATATCTGCCGTAAAAGTGGAAAATTCGAACTTTACATTGTCTTCGCGAGCCCATATTTAACATATTTGCTTTGTTTAAATACAGTGTGATAGGGCTACGAGGTGGAATTTTGAAGCAAAATCGACAATCGACAACAAATCGACAACATTTATACGCTGAATCGAAATCGAAACAAGCGTAACGATAAGACATATCTGACTACACTACGTATCTTATAATAGTTTTATTTTATGATGGCATTTATGATCTTAAGTTCTATCTCAAAGTATTTAAGCGAAATGAACCTACGTATACAGGCGTGAGCACGGCAAGTCAAGTTTCATGGAGTCAATTCAATCAATTTGATGTCAATAACTATGTATGCTGTTGCCATGTGGAGTGTATGTGTCGCCAAGAGCACATCAAGTGTGATGCCTTGGAGTGTTATTATTAGATATCTTATTCTAACATCACAGAGTTGAAATTAAATTTTAATTTCAAGTTTAACGTGCTCTTAACCTACGGAAGAAAAAAAAACAATGGAAGTGCCAAAAGCCTCGAGAACTATCAGAACTAGAGATGCGTTTTTACCCGATAAATATCCGTAAATAGATAAATATCCGTTTTTCCACAATGTCTGAAGACCCGTCTATATAATCAGTGTGTTCTCCCTACTATGACTTACGGTGCCGAGACATGGACGCTCACGCGACACAGAGAGCCATGGAGCGTGTCATGCTCGGTATCAAGCTTATAGACCGTGTTCCCAATGTCCAGATCCGAAGTCGAACTAAGGTAAAGGACGTGGGGAACCGCATCACGAAGCTAAAGTATAGCTGGGCAGGGCACCTGATACGGAGACAAGATGACAGATGGAGTAAGGCGATAACTGAGTGGCGTCCAAGGACTGGATACAGGAACGTCGGGCGTCCAGCGGCGAGATGAGCGGATGACATCGCAGGAATTGGGGGGCGAACCTGGATGAGATTGGCACGGGGTCGTGGGGAGTGGCACAGAAAGTAGGAGGCCTATACCCAGCAGTAGGTGAAGTCAGGCTGTATATGATGATGATGGTGATCCGTTTTTACTGAGTATTTATCCTAAAATATGGATATTTTTTTTTGTGTTTTTTTTTATGCGCATTTTTATGTGCATTCACTAGAATTAATTTTTTATTAAATAATTACGTACCTACGATTACTTCTCATTTTGACATTGTTTTGTGTAACAATACTGTTTTAGTACCTAAGTTTTTCGAGTCGATAACATCCCACTAATGGTAGGAATGTAAACTAATTGCAACATACTCACCTAAACTTTTATCACCATAAAAGGTGGCTAGTATAGAAAATTCGATTGACAAGAAGTTATCAAATGAACCGTAACCGTTCAGCTGACCTATCCTGCGTTAATAAAGTGCGACCCAACTTTATAGTCTAGGGGTCTACTGCGCACTTAATAAAGTCATGTTTGGACTTGAAATAGCCTAAGGACTCCCTTTCACATTTCACACACAAAATCTATTACTTAAAACACATAATATAAAAAATAAATGTTTATAATTGTGTAGGTACACAAAGTGTTTTGATGTGAAGTGCGAACACAATTCTCCTTAGTGGCTCTCTCCGTCCCTTTCGCACTCATATAAATTATTTGGTAGCTCATTTAGGGAAACTCATATAAAGAATTTAGGCAAAGTAGTGGCCAAGAGATTTTGAATCGAATTTCCTTTGTGTTAGAATTAATTATCGTTTAAGCATTTCCAATGAAGTCTGTACAGTTTTTAAAATAAAATATTGAATAACCAGAAACCAATACGAAGCTGAACAAATATACAAATACGGACCAACTTAGAAACTTGAAAAAAAAAATCCATACAAAATGTTAGACAGCTGATTTTGTTTTAACAAACTACACATTTAAAAATAATAAGGTTCACGCAAAAATACAGAGATTTACGATACTTAAAAGGATTATTTCTATCACTGCGTTACAAAAAGGTATAACAAGCAATATACTACACGTACACGCTACTAAATTGTATCAATATTTACAATTAAACTTAAAAATACACATTGTTTTACTAAATATAAATAATAAACCACGATTAAAAATATTTATCCACGTCTTTAGATGAATATCGAGTAAAAATTGATAAATATGGATACTTATCCATATTTACCTTTATACTGAGTATTTATCCCAATGATATTTATCCATGACCTATTTCTAATCAGAACCAATGTCGCCAAAAATTACACATTGTTAATTTGAAACAACACGAAATCTTGATAATGATTTGTCGTAGTTCCAAATTTAAAAAGAAATAACCAATTCTGGATTTTTAATATAATTTAAACTTTAAACTGTTGGCATATCGTTGAAAGTTCAATGCCGTCAATACCTAATTATTGCATGTTACGACATTTTGATGACATCTAGCGGTTAATACTAAACCACGACTAATTGGAGTTATTTGTTTAGTTCTCCAAAACAGAAGCGACGATATTGCAGGGGTACTTGTTACAAAAAAATGATTTCGATAAACAGAAAATTGAAAATTTATAAAAATAAGTCTTGCCGGTTTTATGAAATACAACAAATAAACATTTAAATGCTATTTTTCATACTTTTATTTGAATCGAACGAAAATCCATAGATTTTCCATTTATTTTCATTTCCATAGGAGAGACCAAAATTCCGTAGATCAACGGATAATTCCGTAGGTACGTATTTACGAGCTTCAAAGTTGCACTCACTTTGCATTGCACACATGCATTTGTTGTAAGCAAAGAACGACCTTGTTTTTGTAACATTTCAAACGTTACGGGGTTGTGTTGCCATTCCGTTATTCCATCAAATCAGTGCAACACTTTACGAAACACCTGTCGATTTTATTATGGCAACACATGGCGCAGTTCGCAAGAATCTAAAAACTGACTTTTTAACTTTGAGCAGCAATGGGATTTCACGACTGTTCGACCATGGCTTTTACATGTATTCTTATACATATAATGTATTATCAGATTTGAGAATACCTTATGGTTATAGAAAAATGGATACTTTTGCTGGCCACACTTACGAACTACACAAAAAAACGGATGTATTAAAAGGAGTGGGGAAAACCAAAACCACCTTTCCAGCTACCGCTGGAAAGAGAAGTTAGGTATCAAAAGAGAGGTTAGGTAGTCGTCATCTGAGGGTTAAGGATTTGGGTTGAAGATCTTTAATAATGAAAGAATTCTTGATTTCTTATTACTGCAAGTTCCCGTCTTCTTTATAAAACAACCTGTTGATTTTGTTATCCCAGTGCATTACCTACAGGTCTTAGGAATCGTAAAACTTACCTTTACGACTATCAGCAGAAATGGGGTTCTATTAGTACTTTAAGACCATGGAAATTAAGTCTATTCGTGTTCCTTAATATTTATCAAGTTTTCTTTTCATAAGTGTCTTAACACGACAACTTTTTATAATAAGAATTTAATATTTTGTAGACTGTCTAATTAGATTGTCTTTTTTGAAGACTGAATAAAACGACATTAGCAGAGTAGCCAGTTTTCATAAAATTTTAAATAGTCATATAGTTGTTGCCGGCAGTTTTATCGACAGATTGTGGAAGAAGGTAAAATGTCTGAATTGTGAATGTTACTATTACTAATTGCGTTTATTGCCGTCTTTATTCTTATTTTGACTGTTGAACTACTAGTGTGGAAAACAGTTTTTATTCATGAATACATGTTAATACCGACAGGCGGATTTGATTATTTTTCTTGAATTTAAATGGAAAAGTTCAAAATATGTTTCCTCTTTGTATTTGCATAAGACGTAGTTCTAAGTGCAGTGTATGTATGAATTTACAAAAATTGACAATTCAAATGAACCTGTGCCTTGAATATCGAGTTCTTAGGTTTTTGCGCGTATTTGTTTTTCAAACAAATCAACATTTCGGGCCCTTCACAGGTCCCATGGTCACGGTTGAAACGTTGGTTTATTTGAAAAAACAAATATACTCGATTTAGATCCAAAAAATAGTTTCATTTTCTATGCCTAGCAGTCGGACGAATAATATGCCGACAATGATTTAAATGAACTAAGATCAGTTATATATTGCATAAACGTATCCAATATTCAGTTGATGGTTGATAGAATATTTGTCGACTACAATCACTAGCCGCTTGTTGTAGCGAACATTACTTTTGCACAATGAACTGTCATTTTACTCCATCTTCAAATAATACAGTCTATAGAATTAGGAAATAAAGTATAACATTTTTAAACAAATTGTATCTGGTAAATGTCTAACTAATTGCTAACAATCTCATTAACCATTATTGAATGAGATTCAAATGCTTTCAACTACTCATTCCAGGACAATAATGTTATTTCTTCTTATTATCATTGCACATACTTTATCTTTGCTGAGTCATTGATGATTTATCTATTTTTTACGTTGACACAAACTTAGGTAATGCTTGTGTAATACTATTTAAGTAATAGTAGTTTAGCAGGAACGTGTGTAAACTCAAGATATTTGTTTCAGAATCCTATTGGACTCCTGACGACGACTGCGGGAGGTCCGGTGGAGATAAGAGACGTTAACTTACTCAACACAAATCTCTTCTCGAGCACTTATTTCTTTGATTTATTCAGTCACCTTACTGCAGAAAGAATTCCTCAACGAGTTGTTCACGGAAAGGGCATCGCGGCTCGAGGTTATTTTGAAGTAACGAACGATGTTTCAAAGTACACAAAAGCGGATGTATTTAACGGAATAGGAAAAAAGACCCCCCTTCTAAGCCGGTTTTCGCCCGCTATACAAGAAAGAGGAGGAACTGACGTAGGCCGAGAGTTCAGAGGATTTGCAATTAAGTTCTTCACCAATGAAGGAAATCTTGATATCTTAAATTTGCACGTCCCGGTCTTCACTGTAAGACAACCTGTCCATTTTGCGATGTTAGTGCATACATTAAATATCAGGAACCCTAAAACTAATCTTTTTAACTTTGAGCAGCAATGGGACTTCATAATTTCAAGACCAACGGTTTATCATGTATTCCTATATCTTTTATCAGATTTCGGAATACCTGATGGTTATAGAAAGACGGATTACTTTGCGGACCACACATTCGAATTAAATAACAAAGACGGTGATAGGTATTTTGCTAAATTTAATTTCAGAACGGAACAAGGAGGCGCTTTTCTGACTTCAGCTGAAGCTGCAGACATACAGGCTACAGATCTCGATTATTTTGCCAGAGATTTGTATAACGCTATCGCCGAAAACAATTATCCATCTTGGCGGCTCGAAATGGACGTTATGTCATTACATGATATCAAACACGTTAATTTTGACCCTTTCGATGTAACACGCTTGTGGGAAAACGGAACATATCACACTGTAAACGTAGGTCGTGTAGTACTTAATGAAATGCCAGAAAATCAGTTTAGAGATAGTGAACAAGCTATATACAACTTGAATAACTTAGTTCCGGGCATTCCAGGACCAGTTGATGTGGTTTACCAATCCAGACAAATTTCGTATAGTGATGCTCATAACTATCGCGTTGGTCACAATAACGAAAATATTGAAGTCAATCGTCCTAAATATTCAAAGACATACGATCGAGACGGTGTTCCTCCGGTAAGAAATAATATGAAAGATGCTCCCACTTATTATCCCAACTCCTTCAATGGACCAATACCTTACGTAGATGAATCTAAGCCTTTAGAAAGAATAGTTCTTCTTCAGAGCAATGCTGTGGATTTACAGCATCCGGCAGATTTTTATAACATAGTTCTTGGGACTGATGCGGCAAAACAAAGACTAGCTGACAATATAGTAACTACACTCCAACAAGTAAAATCACCAGTGATTTTAAAAAGAGTTCTTAGACTTTTGTATTTAACCGATGCAGATCTAGGCGAACGAGTGGAAACAAGTTATAATTTGGCAAGTAGTTGCCGTGTGTAGAAAAGTGTTAATTTAGTAATTTATATTATTATTCACTGTAATGCACTACTTGATGATTGCAATGTCCTAATTCTCCTTTTTTTTAATGTCTGTTAAAATATGAATGACATGTAACGGTGACAGAGTGATTTGAATAAATGCTATAGGTACTAGCTGAATTCATTTGTTTTAGTTAGATCTTGTAAATATAGTTAGATATATTCTCATAAATAGTTACTTATCTTCATTGACTTACAATTATATGGACGTCGGGTCCGCGCTAAAAAGTGTCCGAACTTATAGGGCGTTAAAATCGTATACAGAGCGTCATTCACGCTTTGGTCTTCGTTTGTTCGATTGACAGCGAAGCAAGCAAAATTAGACAGTACTGCGATGACATTACAATTTAAATTCAACGTTTTAGCTTTTTCATATTCCTTTACATGTCACTACGTTTATATAGGTTGACTTGAGACATTTTTTTCGTGGTTTGTGTATTAGACCCGTCGTCCACTTATTTGTAAGTCTATGCTTATCTTACATTAATAGTAGTAGTTTTCATTGCCATAGTTTTATTCACGACTGTACTTATTAGTGGAAACGGTTGAGTATGGATAAGTGGAAATGAAATTCTACTTATCCCAACCAGTGATGGTGTGGTAGGGAACAGTGGAAAAAAAATCTACTTGTCCCCACCAGGAGGGACAGCTGGTAGGGACTAGTGAAATAGGCCATACTGATTTAACTCTACCGCTCATTCGAAAGGCAGATTCCCCTGACAAGAATAAGCAAGTAACTCTTGGGGTTGCTCTTTGTAAATATACATTTGAATACATTTATCATTAAAATGTTAACGGGTTACTACCAAGGATTTTTGTCATCCAAGTATGCCGAAGTTGTATAATATTGTACATTTAGTATAAAGTTTTGGTCGGCGTTCGGGAAATTACGTCAAAACTTCTTGTCCAAAATACCAGTGTCTCAAGACAAAAGTCTTCGACCAGTGTGTATTGCCAGTGATGACTTACGGCACTGAGACGTGGTCGCTCACTATGGGCCTTATAAGAAGGCTCAACGTAACTCACAGGGCAATGGAAAGGGCTACACTCGGAGTTTCGTTGCGAGATCGAATCAGTATATTTACCTAATTTAAGGAAACTCATTTTGGTATAAACTGGCAACACATACGAATTTATGCCGAGGTTTTGTGTTCCGAGTGAATCTCAGAAAATATTAGATAAATAAATTATATAACAGTTAAATAATCAATTGTTGTGCCTGTGTGTACCTGTGAAAAGTTATTCCATCTTATTCCTTTTATTTTTGGGAACAACTTTTACAAATCTCACGAGTGTTTTAATGCCTAATTATGTACAGTTACATACACTGCTTTATCTACACACATATTATAAGCTCTCTGTGATGCGTTCAGGAACTGCGTGTTACGACTTTATTTTTAGTTCATAGACAAATTAGAATCGGCCCCAACTATCATATCGTTCGTTATCAAGGTACGTGTGGAATTGTCAAAATTGTTTGCTATTGACATTTCATTTCGAACAAAACTTCATCTCGACTGATATTAGAATTGAGGTCAAATCAAATTGTTTTGTTTTTCAGAGATGTTCGAAATTAGAATGTAATAATAACATCGAATTCGATGCTAGGAAGCAATAATAACATTTACACAGATAATAAATTTGTTATAACAAAACAGTTTACCTTTATGCTTGTTACAATTTGCGGTTTTTGAACACATTATAGAGAGTTTATGATATGTGTGTAGATAAAATAACTAATCACTCGTGACGTGCAAACATCGTGCAAACAATGCGACGCTGTGCTTAGTACTGACACGAGTTTGTATTCGCTTTTGAATTTAAAATTACTTACATAATAGTAATAATATTATCGATAATCATAAAATCACATATAATATTAATAATACGTTTATTTGCTTAAAACATGGTATAACAGAAGGTGTAACACGAGATAGTGCCAGTACTAACATGTTTCGCATATTAAACAACCGTATATTAAACTACGACAACAATAAAAATGTCGCAAGAAATATCACTCATGTCATGTCACAATGTTATAAATTAAATTTGCCAAGAATGATTAAAATCAAGATAAAATTTTACATCTTATTTCCTGTCAAATAATTCATTTACTTATGTCATAAAAATATTTCCATTTAAACACTTACTTAACTTCGTTTTGAACAAACATGAGTCTAATAATTTAATCTCGAGCTGTTCACATGTTGGTCGCTGTCAGTTTTGTTTTAAGGAACTGAGAATGCCTAGTAATGAGTCTTTTTAATGAAAATTAAATATAAAGTTATTAACCTATAAATGTAACGATGGAATTGCATTATCATGTAATATATTACACGCATGTAACTATAATTCATAGTTCTATTAAAATTTGCCTCTTCAATATGAGGCGAACAAACGAAAATCGTATTTGATTCTATGTTTATATTCGGCAGTCCTATAATTTCCAACCATTCTTACTTTCTTTTTTTATTTGTAGGTAACTTTTAAAAATAAAAATAATAATGAAATAATAAAAACCTCGTAGTCAATTTTTTTATAACAGAATATCGATAATATGTATGCTTACAAGAACAACACTGTCTCAAAATAATCGTTATCAACAATCATCAAAATATATTAACAAACAGGCAATCTGTAGTCACCAAAGCAAAATTCGTCAAGACTTATGAATAAACTGCTTAAATGAGTCTAATTATATGAGATATTTGGGCTATTGCATGATTTATAGACAGAAAAATAACACATGCCGGTGTAATGTAACATTCGGTTGATTTCCGCTTTTTGTACTACCGCACCCTACGATTAATAATAATAATAATAACGCACACACTCAACATAGCCCCGCACTAGGGAGACCCTGTGTCGCGGGTGCCATGGACACACATAGACAATCACAAATTACACCGAAACGCACCACGGTGGGCTGAAAATCGGCTTTCATAGACTTAGGGATTTCAATTTGCAAGTGTCAGTTTTTTTGCCGAAAATTGCTTCTTTTAGTTATTACTATGTACAAATATGACATCCGAGTTGATTATGTTCAAAAACGAAGGAGTTATAATTTTTTTTCGAAAAATTTGTATGAAACTTGTATGAAAAATCTAATTATCTTTTAAACGGCAAGGAAAACCGTAATATCCTTACAGGTGGTTATAGTACTAATTATTTATGATTTTTTGGCATACTCCAGATGAAGGTCATAAATGCCGTTTTTTTTTTAAAAATCATCAAAATATTTTTATTTAATTTTACATGTGAAATGAAATGATTTTGTCTTTGAGTTGAGGAACACAAACTTTTTACAACACGTAACATAAAATACTATCACCCCTATATTCCTAAAGAGTAGGCAGAGATTTACCGTACACCCACACTTAGACAAATATTGTTTACTTTTATAATGAGTCTAAAACAAGTGATTAAGTAAGTAATTACAACGATATTGTCTTGTAATGAGTCAGAATAGGTGATTAAATGATTCTCAATACCGCAACACTATGCCAACTATGGACTTAATTAAGCTTTTTCTGATGAGTAAGCTAATTTAATTGTGCTTTCAGTTCTAAAAAAATATATATATTTTAAGCGCACATATTTTTAAATGGAATGAAACAAATGTAAAACAGATGTGAGGATGCCGTAGAACAAAAACTCGGGAAACTTAACAAATACAATATATTTTCTTCCAACCACATGTTATTTCTCAAATTCTCAACAGTCAAAATCAGTATGCCCCACACAAGGCATGCCTTTCCTATGTTTACCTTTCATTCTCCCGTGTTGCCATTTTATTTCAAACCGATTTTTATCGCTTAGTTGGATCGATTTGTTTCATTATTCAAATTACTTGTAAATCATATTGATTGTCTAATTTATATCGAATTGTATAAAAGTAAGTGGCAAATTCAAAAAGACATTGCATAGTAATTTTCATCAAAGTTTATTTTGTATAAAAATCCCCCTTCTAACTGAGATTGTTCAAAACTATTGCCACGGAACTTACTGCAACAGTATGTTATTGAGCGAAATCAAATCGATAAAACATTTATCAGTAATACGAAGGATTGTGTTATAACGCAAAGGAATTGCTTAATGAAATGATTAAAATAATTATCAACGCACCTATTCAAATATATATAAACTAGCGCACTATTACATACAGCTGGCAACATGAAGACTGTCGGGTTACTTATTGTATATTTTTCTCTAAATAACATCTACGGATACGAGCTAGTTTGCCACACACACACGGTAATGGCAAGTTGGATATCGTTTTCGAGGTATTTGGGGGTGCACATTACGAATGTGGCACTTATTTGTAAATCCAAGATGGCGGGCACGATTTTTCGAATTATGGCAAGTTGGGTATCGTTTTCGAGGTATTTGGGGGTGTTCATTACGAATATAGCACTTATTTGTAAATCCAAGATGGCGGACACCATTTTTCAAAAAATGCAGTATCCTTTTTGAGGTATTTGGGGACGCTCAATACGAATATGGCACTCATTTCTAAATCCAAGTTGGCGGGCACGATTTTTCGAATAATAGTAAAATCGAATAAATGGCAAGTTGGGTATCGTTTTCGAGGTATTTAGGTGTGCTCATTACGAATATCGATCATCATCATTGTGAATCGACAATGTCGATCGTATCTGTAGGCACCTTTACGATGCTACTGCACGACAGCTCACCCAGTTGAAAATGCGACATTCAGTAAGTGAAATGTTTTAAATTTTAATACACTTTCCATTCAAGAAGACACTAACTTTAATTCTACTTAGTTATCGTATATGTAACGTAACGGGAACACAGTGTTTTTAACTGAGACATAAAAGAATCAGAGAAAATGTTTCATTCCGAATGGATGAGTAAAGTGAGTCCTATGACTACAATTTTTGGAGAAAACCTCGAGTAAGAAAAAAAAGTAAAATATGACTAAATGGCGATTTAGTCTATCAGCGCGGCCAATAACATTTGTAATATGCATTACAAGTAAGGCTTTTCAAAAAACAATAAATTATTATTTATATATAATTATTTATATTTATTTATATATAGAATTACTTAACTGCGATTTGGTCACTAGTATATTATTTTCAAAAAATACCAAATACGCGACACAAACTTTGGTCGAGGTTTTCTCGAAAACTATTGTAGTGAGACTCATGGGAGTTTTACACATGCATTCGGAATGAAACGTTTTCTCTGATTCTTTTGTTAACAGAGACAAGTCCAATTAGACGTAAAAATCGGTGTGCGACGTTGTTATACGTGACACGGCTTCATTACTCTGCAAAGTCTGCAGATATTGTGGAGTACATAAGGGTGAAAGTCAAAGCTACCCTGGGAGTCCCGACACAATGTGAATTTTAATTCATTTGTGTTGAGTGAAAGTACCACCTCAACACCTGTCGAATTTCATGAAGGAAGAGTTTTGGTTACCGGACACCCATGTTGCGTAACACGTCGCAGTTTATACGTGTAAATAAATAATGTTTTATATTATATTACTATGTGTGTTAGTCTATATATATATAATAAAAACAAATTTCGTAATTTTTTTGTAAGTATAATAAATGCATCACGAAGAGGGTGTACTGTAATTGTAATGTACTGTAATATAAATTTTGTATTTTCAGTGAAAAACGCGTTAAGTCAAAAACTTTTGTATGCTCAAATTCAAACTCAAATTATCAGATCTTTATTTCGTAGATAAGCAAATTTGCACTTGAAATCATCATAATATAATAATATATGGATTAAACTCTACTGCTGATTCGTAAGGCAAGTAAGTTTTTTGTTATAAATAATACTTATTAAAATAATTAGGTACTTTGCTTAGACAGGAATTTCCGTGTCAATAGTGTGGTTTATTAATGGTAAATTGCATTTGACTCATTTCGAGCTGGAAATGCTAAAAGTTTTTTGTATCACCCGTCCCTTTGAAATGTGTGTGTAAAATGATTTATTACAAATTGTAACAATTTTGCATGAAACAGTGTTGGTAACACAGTGAATAATTAACATAGAAGTTGAAATAGATTTATAGATTAGATAAAATAATTAATTTCATATTAACAATGTCACAATATTACGATTAAAAATACAATATCAAGGGATAATACGATCGTCGCTAATACAAATCATATTTGTGTTGCAAAAACGAGCAATTCGTTTTGTGTACCGTCAAGGTTCTCGGATTTATGCTATTATAACTGTGACATCACAGTACGTTTAAGTATTTTATATGCCCGTAAAAATATACATAATTTTAAATAATTTCATTATAAGGGAGACATCCATAATTAACCTTCGAACTAAGTCCAAACTCATGGTATCACGATTGCGTTTAACTAAGGTAAAGGATTCTTGCATGGAGTATACGTTTTCACTGTAAGATTCCGGAGCATATATGACGACATACATTAGGATTATCATTTATTAAAACTTACATTAAATGTATTTTGAAGACTACGTGTTAGATAAAGATTTATGGAAAGATGACAGGGGTCTAGATTCAACACTTTTAGTAGAAGCAAAGTTCCTTGTGAGTTTCTCCATGGAGGTACTGCCACCTGCCTATATCTGCCGCCAAGCAGTAATATCAGCATTACTGCGTTCCATCTTTGAAGGGTAAGGGGGCTGGTGAAATTACAGGCACATGGGAGATGTCAACTTATGTCTCAAGGTGACGGGCGTAGTAGCAGCGCACCTCAGATCTTTGTGATTTAAAGCTCTGAGTGGCACTGCAACTTTAATTAACAGGCGTGCAGCTTACCACCAGGCGCAAGACTTGATCGCAGGAAACAAAAACGCCCGCCGCGCGTCTTGTACGGACCCACACGTTCATTATGCAAATGTGTGCACGCGTACACGATACGCGGCGTACCGCGCAGACATTATGTACGCTACTACGCTACGTTTTTACGGAGTTACCATATTTATCTTATTATACTATGCCTTCCGTCTGTATCATTGTGGTGGTATCATTTTGCAATGATAATAAGAGATTTGTAGCTTTAAGAGTCGATATTACATCAGCTCCAATTAAATTTTTTCCCGTACTAATACGGTTCATTTATATTCGAGCGGCGTGGACTCTGGCGAAAGCCAGTTCTGAAATAAATTTCAAAATTTATTTTTTTTTAAAAGAAATTAAAGCTATTTGAAAAATGTGTATCATATACTATATGTGTTCTATTTAGTTCAGTTGATATAAAAAAATCATTGGTGTAAGTACTTATTGAATACAGCGGTTTTCTTGTATTAAATTTCGAGGTAAGTTCGTCTTTTTTTTCTATCGTGAAAATTTTTTGTTATCGTGTTTTCACACTATATGTTAATCAGTGTATATCCTCAATTGTACTATATATTTGATTTGTGTGTGTGTGTGCTAAAGTGATTGATTCAACACTGTCACTGTTATGCGGCATCAGCCAAAGCCATTTGAGGTTGTATCGATTCTTAAATGGAAAGTGATTTATTTTAACTGCTCTACAATTAGTGCTTACTGAGTAAGAGCTCAATGTTTTAAATAAGAATTTAAGTATGTTATTAGAAAAATATGTGCATGTGTTATATCCCATTACACAAGAAACATGTCTGATGAATATGGTAAGTTATATGAAAATTATCATGAGTTCTTAAGCAGCTAGGGCAGAGGTGATTAGACATAAATTATATAGATTAGATATAAAGGTATTTAAAATATAATATAAGTAGAGAAATCGCATTTATCACTGAGGATACAGAATTGTTTAAACATTGAATAATAACATTAATTGCTAACGGATACCTATCAACTACGGTAGAAAACGTGTTGAAATAAATTGATATAAAATTTTTGATGCAATTCATATGTACTCAGTACATGGTTTTAAACAAAATGTGGTGGGGTGTCGTTGTGCAGGATGGGTACTGAATATTTAATAACTAAAGTTGTTTGTTACAATATTGAGAATCATTTCGATTTATTAATTTAATTGAGTGTTTAATTAAATTTAATTAGGCATTGGTATATTTTGAACCACGGAAGGTACCTATTTACGTGGTCTGTGTTTTGAACCATCATAATGTTCCATAATAATGTTGTGTGTATTATGGTGACTAATTGTATATTGCCATTATGAAAATAAACTATGTTCAATTGCGAGTATATTAATTTGTCATATAATTGTTGACAATTACAATATTAACAAATGATCAACACCAATCACTAGTTTCTTACCACACGGCATGAACTGTTTTTATTTTCCCGATATTTTGTGACGGTTACACGTCACATGGTCACTGGTTGGCAGTCACCAATTCGTGACCATGGGGCATGTAACCGTTTATACCGGGAAAATAAAAATAATGTAGTACAATTGACCATTTACCTAATTTGTACGTTGACTATACACTTCGGTAATGCATTATGCATGCGATTTCCGATTTAAGTAAAGTCTTGTTAGATTTAGCAGGAACGTGGGTTGGGTGGGTTAAGGTAAGAGACGTTAACTTACTCAACACAAATCTCTTCTGAAGCTATTATTTCTTCGATATCTTTAGTCATATTACTTCAGAACGAATCCCTCAACGAATAATTGTCCCAAAGGGCAGCGCATCTCGTAGTTATTTTGAAGTAACCAACGATGTTTCGAAGTACACAAAAGCGGAAGTATTCAATGGAATAGGAAAAAGAACTCGCATCCTGCACCGGTTTGCTGTCTCTAGTCAAGAAAGAGGAGGAACTGACCTAGCCCGAGTGTTGAGAACGTTTGCAGCGAAGTTCTTCACCAATGAAGGAAATCTGGACATCTTAAGTCTACAAATCCCTGTCTTCTTCTCAAAACAACCACACGATTATCATTCGTCAGTGCATAGTATTGGTAAAAGGAATCCTAAAACTTTAGTATATGACTACGGCTTGCAATGGGACACAGTAATTTTAAGACCATGGTTTTAGCATGCTTACTTATACCTTTTATCAGATTACGGAATACCTGACGTTTTCAGAAAGACGAGTTTCTTAGCCATTGATACATTCGAACTAAATAATAAAGAGGGTGAAAAGGATTTTGCCAGATTTAATTACAGAACGGAACAGGGAGAAGCTTATTTGACCTCAGCTGAAGCTGCAGCCATACAGGCCACAGATTTTGACTATTTTATCAGAGATTTACGAGTATACAATGCAGCCGAGGAAAAGAATTATCCCTCTTGGCGGCTTGAAATGGACGTTATGTCATATCAAACACATTGATTTTGATCCTTTCGATGTAACACGATTTTAGAAAAACGGAACATATAAAACTGTGCCAATAAGTCGTGTGGTAATAAATGCAATGCCTGTAAATCAGCTTAGAGATGGCAAACAGGCTGTATACAACCCGGCTAGCCTAGTTCCTGGTATACTAAGACCGACTGATGTTTTTTCCAAGCTAGAAGATTCGCGTATCAAGATGTGAGCATCTATCGTAGTAACTATCGCGTAGGTCGTAATCATAACAATATTGACGTCAATCGTCCTAAATATGCAAAGACGTACAATCGAGACAGCACTTACTATCCGAACTACTTCAATGGACCAGTACCTTACGTAGCTGTGTCAAAGTCTAATGAACAAATAACTCTTCTTCAAAGCAATGCTGTGGATTTACAACTTCCAGCAGTTTTCTTTAATATAAGGATTATACTTGACAGGAGTCAAGTGATGCGGCAAAGCAAAGACTAGTTGACGATAGTAGGTACCTTACAGCGAGTGAAATCATAGATGACTTTGAAAAGGGTTCTTAGACTTTTGTATTTGACAGATGCAGATTTAGGCCATCGA